ACTCAACTTCCGTTCGAAGTGCACCGCCAAATGGATTCGCATTCGGTTTACTTTACCACCTCCTCCACTTGATCTTGGTGCGGGCAAAACTTTTTCAATACTTCAAGAGATTCCGTGTTTTATTTAACCCCCCTCCTCGCCAGCTGCAGCTTTATATAATTGAGTGGAAGGAAGCAGCTTTAACCGCACGAGTTAACCGAGAAGAGGCGATTGCGAGGATTTTGAGTGGAAGCCTTTCGATCCGGCATCTCAAGGAGGGCTACGAAAAATATCTCCTCTTTTCACTGTTCGCCGGGAATGGGAATCATATTTAATTATGGGTTTCTCTCTTAAACATGGCAGCTTAAGCAGGTTACTTTCGTTTGTTCGTGGTATTAAGGTACTTAAAGGCATTTGAGTGTATGAAAAGTGCTTTAAAATCTCAACAGCAGTCGCCCTTCTTCAATAATTAAATTTGACAAAAATCTATTACTTAACATTGAATTTGCGCCAAGAGTAAACACCGTCAATAAGCTAATAATAACTCTACGATCCAATTAAGCATAACTATGTTAGCGGACTTTTCCCTGGAAACTGATGGCTATTATCCCATCGCTTTCGCTGGGAAACTGAAACGACCTCACCAACGAGACGATGGAGTAACCATAAAGGTGCAGGACCAACATAAAACCTGTTCCACGCTGCGGACCAGCCACCAAATACGGTCCCCCAACTTTACACGGTCCCAAAGGATGGCGACAAGTGGGCACATGTGGACGTGAGACCCGAATAAAAGGCCCAATTCTCGCCTTGGACACGCACCGGGAAAATCAATGGAAAGGGGCCATGGAAACGGGAGAGGTGAGGCAGAAGTCAGCAGAGAATTTCCACGTTGATGAGCTGGATTCATTTCGGTTGCGTGCCAAAGTCAACGGAAGGTGCGAATTGGGATCGCGTGGGTGGCTGAACCTTTGAGTCCGGCCGCAAAATGGGAGGCGAACGGAAGCAATCCGAAACTTACAGTTGACATGGAGGACATCATTAGCAGGAGCAGGCAGCTGTCACTTGGGTCGGAAATTACGCATATCCTTTGATAAATTGTAGCGGAAAACGAAATAATGAACTGCTTGCTAACTTTGCGACAAACTATATCAACACTTGAAGATTGTGCGTTGTGTACACCGGAATGGCAAACTTTGCTGCACAGTGGGAAAGCGTAACCTGATTGCAAGGCCTTAATTGGAGCAGTACCAGGACTCAGACTTCCTCGAGCTAGCCCTAACCCATGTCGGTTAGACGCCAGCCGGCTTTGGCTAATGTCATCAAATGACGTGTCACTCAATCGGGCAGCCGAGGAAACCTGATATCCTGGAGCACATCCTTGTGCTGATGTGCGACGATATGCGCTTATGCAAAATTAAATCATTAAAATGCGAGGCGGATGAAATTTTCTTAAACTGTTTTGCGCACGAGTTGATGCCAAGTCACACATGCCCATGCAAACAGCGCCCATACACAAACACGCCCAATGTCCTTAAACACACACACACTCGTGCTTGTGCCTAAGTAGATATTTCATCGGATTTTCACAGCGGCTGAGATAAAAAAGCGGGAACAGCACAGCGAGTCTGGGAAAAACATACGGGACAGCAACAAATTTAAAACGTTTTTGGGACAAGTTCCCCTCGCTAATGGCTGGGGTCATGTTCTGACCTGGTTGACACAAAGGTAAAAAGCAGGAGCGGGAAAACATCGCCAGTCACGTGTGTAAGGCGAGGGACATTAAAATTAAAGGCAGCCACGCGGGAGAAAATTCATTGATAAACCACGAAGTAGGAAAACCGGAAAACTCGCGAAAACTCGTACAAATGTATGCCAAGAAAGGCATGGAGTCCATAAAACCCAAGCATATTTAATTATGAGTATTTAGTAGGGCTAAATAACTACTGCCTCTGTCAATTTAAGATTAATTATAAAATTTACTTACTGTCATACTTGCCTAAGACAGATTGTAAATAAAAAGCCTGTCCTGTAAAAATGGGTTGTCATCGGTGAAAGTATAAATAAAATAGTTTTATAGAAATACATGCGACCCGCATTATTAACGGTGTATTAATAACAGGATATCGAGCCGCCGCTACTCCGATGCGATAAATGTCTGTTTTTCGGCTTAGCTACGTTCTGAGATGTGTCTAACTGAACAGATCCCCACTGCCTAAGCATCTCAGCCCATTCCGGCCACTCCTTCCACAGAACCTGGGGATTGGGGAGCAAGTGGGTGTACGTGCTCCAAAGCCACGACTAGGCAGTTGGGAAATTAAATTCTAGTTACGCCCCTGGAATTTAAAAATAGCAAACAATCGGCGAATTGTTCGGTGGGTGGATGGGAGGCTTTTGGACTGGGAAGAGGGTGGAAGGATGGGGGCTAGAGGCTGAAGGACGCTTGGATGCGGTTGTTGAACGTGTTCAAATTGCCGAAACGCGTCGAAATTATGTTAATGCTGTAAGTACGTGTCCCGAAGGCGGCCAACAAATTGAATATGTATTTAAGCTTTAATGTTGCAAGTGGGCGGCTATCGGGAACGCGTCATTGTTTAATCTGTAATTTGGCAGCTATATCTTTATTGTGCGGGAGCAGGGAGGTGGAAAGAAGTGAATCCTAAAAATTCGGCATCCCCTCGTTCTGTTTGTCTCCCCCGATGTTTGATGTTCTCGTATGTGCATGAATTCTGAAGGAGAGGACTGCTTAACAATTCCTGTTCATCTCCCTGTCACTTTTAATGAGTTCTTGTGCCCGAATTTTCGTTCCCTTGCATTCCGGCTGGAACTTGTTGGCAACAATGTGGGCGAAATTGTCGCCGCCCCCGAAAATCAGGCGAACGCCCTTCGAAGTCGTCGTGGTCGTGGCCATGACGCATTGTCACCATGATTATAATTTCCATCAAGGCGATTTTGTAGGGCTGCGGGAGGATGAGATGGGCAGGTGGCGCCGAGCAAGTCATATTGAACTAATTTGCATCACCAGCGAGGGGCAGTTATTTTTTGATCGGAGAAGAAATTTGGCAATAAGCCGTACACTTAATATTTTAATTTTAAGTAGAAGAAGAGAAAGGTTACAAAATGTGTCCACAAAATGTGCCATAAGCCTACGCCAAGGAAAGTTATTTTGAATTATTTTAGATATTTATAGATTGCGGACCACGTTCCTTTTGATGAAGCGCTCTAGAAACTTGTCAAAACATTTAAAAAGACGGCAAATGGTACATACAATAAATCAAGATGGGCGGCAAACGAGCATGTGCGTAAAGGATTTGGGTTTCCGAAAAGTTTTAAATTTAAAAATTTAGCAACGAACAAGCGAAAACTGTGCAGACTATTTGGTCATAACCTGTGGCAGGCCATCAAAAAGGATTGTGGGGGCGTGGCCCGTGTAGGGATACATTTTGACAGGACCTTTGTTTTCAACTGAAAAACGATGAATTAGTGGGACACTCTCTAGTTAACAACAAGATGTGATAAAGAGCAAAAAGTGCTCAGTCACTTTAAATGGCTAATCATTCGCAGCTCCATGATGAATGGGGGAAGTGGTGTGTATAAGATAGTTTACCACAGCGTTTTAGTGCTGCTAGCTACTGGGACAGTGTTTTAATTAAAATTAATGTGCCATAAGCTTTAAATAAATGCCACTTCTTTGTCCCAGAGCCTCTTGCCGCGCATCCATAAAAGGAGCATTATTGCATGCGCGTGGGAGGTCCTTGTGGGCTGTTGGCTGTAACTGCTCCTCCAGGATGGGAAAATACCCATCCCATATAGTCGGGACTTACTCGGCATTGCGGGCCATAATACATCCCCTCGTTCCGCCCACTCGCCTCGCATAAATAAGGGATTATGCATGGATCCACGCATTTAGTTCTCGGGATTGTCACTGCTCCAAGCCCCAAAAGAAACCGCGCAAGTTAGATCGACATTACAACTTTTCACTGAGCTCTGTTCATTTATTTAATAGTAGGATATGCAAACGGACTTAATGTGCCATCTAGTTTAGCTACCTGTACAGCAGGAAAACACAATTTAGCTAATGTGTATGTTTATATAAAAACTAGGAAATACTCGGAAATTCCACTTAGCGAATGAGTTTATTGGAATTTGCCATATGCCACATTTATGCACTTTTACATATAGGAATTAAAATAAAATGATGTCAATCAAATTTCCGCTGAAACAGGTCCTATTACATGCAGTACAAATACGTTTAGCATACATATTTTGCATATCATTATCCGTCGTTTTCATTTTACATAATGCCTACTAAACGTTTTTCAGCGCAATCTGGCACGCAAATTAATTATGATTGTATAAATTCGCTTTGTTCATAAATTTTTGATCAAGTGGGAAACAATCTCGTACTGCAAAAGGCGGATTTTTGGCCAGGATGCGATTAAATGGCATGGAAGGAGCAATTGCAGAGCCCAACTGACAGCTATTCCCGGTCGAACCTAAAACCGGAATTCTGGAAACGCGAGTGATTGACAGCCCAATGATGATGCCAATGTATAAGGAGGATGTGAAGATGATAGAGCCAGCCAGGTTACGTAATGAATTTACTAAATTAATCCACTTCCGTGGTGTAAATCCGCGCAACTGGTACTTATGTGGAGAAAATCGATTCAACAGCCATGTGGACACATAACTTTGCCAGCACCGAAACGGCGGAAATTGGAAAGTAAGTGCACAGGTTTCTTAAGCAGCCAACAAATGATGAAGGCTAACTGGAAAGGGGAAAACTTGCTGAAAAACTATTTAAATTGATGTGTGGCCCAATTTTTAAGCTGACAGAAGAGACTGGAAATGGTTGCGATATGCTGGGTATGAACAGTAATGTCCGCTTATAATCATTCATTTATATTAACAAAACTGTTAATATAAAATATATGTTCCATTGGGGGTATGTTTTTGGTGTTATTGTATGAACTAGATCGAAGAACTCGGAAAATTCAGTCATTCTCCACATCATACTTATCGAAGGTGGCAACAATAGATCGCCGGAAACATTATATTTCTGCCTGCGTAGAAGTTTGGCAAACTCCCACATCGCATGGCGGAACCGGAACCGGAAGAGGGGCGTGCAAAGGACGAGAGGCGTTGGCAAGGCCGTTCCGATGCTCACCAATCGAAGCCTCAGGTCCGCAAGGAGCGGCGACATCCACCACAGCCTAATCAGCCTCATGGGGGTCTTCCCCATGATGATCGTCGCTTCATGGAAACTCGGAGCTGCACGGAGGCGGAGCAATCTCTACCGGAAATTATAGTTGCGGGAAAGTACCGCTTACTGAAGCGCATTGGAAACGGATCATTTGGAGAACTTTTCCAGGCCGAGAGCCTCAAGTACCACGAGAAGGTGGCCATTAAACTGGAGAGCTCCACGGTCAAGTACCCACTGCTGCCCCGCGAGGCCAGGATCTATGGCATCCTGCAGGGCGGGCTGGGAATCCCGCATGTGCGGCATTTTGCCACCGAGGGCGCGTACAATGTCATGGTGATGGACCTCCTGGGCCCCACTCTGGAGGATCTGCTCAACCTCTGCTCACGCTCCTTCAGCATGAAGACCACACTGGTGCTGGCCGACCAGATCCTGGCCCGCGTGGAGCTGCTCCACCGCAAGTGCTTCATTCACCGAGACATCAAGCCGGACAACTTCCTGATGGGCCTGAACCGCCACCAAACCCAGGTGTATATGATCGACTTCGGACTGGCCAAGAAGTTTTACAGCCTACGCTCCCAGAAGCACATTGGCTACACGGAGAACAGGGATCTTGTAGGTACGGCCCGGTACGCCAGTGTGCGGGCCCATTACGCGGAGCAGAGTCGTCGGGATGACCTGGAGTCCGTGGGCTACTTGCTCCTCTACTTCCAGCGCGGTCGTCTTCCCTGGCAGGGAATCCGGGCGCAGTCGCAGGCCCAGAAGTACGAGAAGATAGCTGAGTACAAGTCCAACATCCCACTGCAGCAACTCTGTTCCGGATTGCCCATTGAGTTCTTCATGTACCTGAAGTACTGCCGGAAGCTGCACTTCGCCGAGAAGCCGGACTACGTGTATCTCCAGCAGCTGTTTAAGGTGCTCTTCCGGAACCAGTACAAGTTGGCTGACTTCCTATTCGACTGGGTTGTTTTGAAGCGAGGATCTGAGGAACAACAAGCGGAGCAAAAGGGTACGGAAAGGGGGAGAGGTGGGAAAAGACATAGGCTGGTGCAGAAGGAGAGGCATCGCAGTAAGGATAAGGGCAGGAATTGTTACACGCAGAGGGATCGAAAAAAGAGCGGGGAAAATCTGCCCGAGATCGAGCCAAATGAATGTACCAATGAGGTAGCCCCAAATGAAGATCAGCCCCGGAAGAAGAATGACAAGGCCTGCTCTTGCAGCTACCACCTCCAGAAAATGCGCCTCCAGGATCGGGATAAGATGGCGCCTCTGATGACCGAGCGAAGGATCCTTGCGGAGGAGCAGGAGCAGGAGCAACCGGAGTCCCATCAGATGCCGCCCTGCCTTTAGTATAACGCTGCTTGTAAATGTCTCGCTTGTTAATTAACTGCCGAGCAACTATATTTAGCATGACTTAATCATTTAGCCAGCTCAGATCCTTTGTTCGCCGAATCAACGTCTTGGGTAATTAGGAAAGCTCTCGGGCGGCCGCAGAAGTCAACTGGCAGCTTAGCCAACCATGGGAACAAACTTTGCGAGGCGTCCTACACGGCGAAATCGATACCGTGGCAACTCGCTTTAAAGGATAGTGGAGACTATGCTAGCGACATATCCTACACAAAAATGAGAAATGCATTTTTATACAAAATTTAAATAGTCCTAAAAAATATTTTTGTCTACGTTCGTTATTAAGTCGTAGTAGTTTGTGAAATAAACATTTCTTAAGAGTTGGCAAGGTATGTTACAAGGTATCTTACTGTATCATTAAATAAGTTCGTTCTATTGCCCTTTCTCTAGCTTTTCCTTTGCTGGCACCATTTGCAGAAAGAAATGAAAAAGTTTCCTCGAAGTGTAACAGCACACATTCGATAGCTGTATATTAATAAAGGGGTTAATTATTGGCCCAGCCAGGATGCCTTACGAGATTTCTGGCACGACTTAAGGATGCGACGCTGGGGCGGATGGCGATGGCTCAGACCAGAGGACATATAAATGACTCCCCCAGTGGCTTATAAGAAATAGGGTCATCGCAGCCGAGGCAAAGTAGTTTGCTCAGTCGCGCAGCAATAATGCGGACTTATGGGTCCAAGATATCCAGACCTACTATTTTCTGCCCGAAATCATTTTGGCCCAAACCACCAAACCAATTATGACTTTGGGCTGGGTGTGAGGGTGCATAAATCTATAAATAGCTCTCCTCGCCGGGATTTACACTAAGCGGAAAGCGAAGAACCATAATTATATCATATATATATAAAAATATTTATATATATTATATAATCTTTTTCTTAAAGCTCAAGATTTTAATGCATTTGGAAAGATTTTAGTATGAGCAAGATAGACCGCTATAGTCCAGTTCCCCGACTATCAGATACCCGTTAATCAGTGCAAACGAAATATGTCCAAATTTCTGGCCTATCGATAGAAATTGGCAAGACTAATAAAATAATTGACTTTATGGGGAGTCGCTTCCTTCTGGCTGTTACATACTTTTCAAGGAATCTTGTATACCCTTTTACTTTACGAGTAATGGGTATAATAAATAAATGTCCTTCGATTACACTCAAGCTAGAATAATTTCAAGCTGGACAAATTTCGCGGGCTAAGTCAATAAGCAAGTACAATTCAAGTCCATTTAAACCACCTTTGCAGGTTTTGATATTAAGTGCTTTTCTAAAAATAGTCGGGTTTTCCCGTGTACGTAGCGCAGACGCTGCCACGCCCATTTAGCATCCCTAGCTCTGCGATATGAGGTGAGTCTGGGTTGTTGGGACTTCCACCCACGAAACAACTTTCCCAAGAAGTTGAAATCCCCACACCACAAAGAACACACCCACACACGCAGCTCACGCATACTCATGAAAACCAAGGACACGCACTCATACGCTTTTCCGTACACGTACACAACGCGGTGAAGCGTAAAAATATTTGCAAGCTTGGGCTTCGGCTTTCTCCTTTCTCCATTCCCCATTCCCCATTCACCATTCTCTTTGGCGCGCCGCATTTCAAATGAAGTTAATTTTTTTCGTTGAACAAAATGGCTACAAATCTGTGTTTTATTTATAAGTGGCACTAGCCGGGCCAGCAGACACACTACAGAAGGCAGTGAACTCGGTCATCCTACACTGATGGGTCCCGAATGAACTTCGGTGACATTCAAATTGGGCAGTTAACGAAATTGTGCAATTTGTGGGTCAATGGCAAATGGCGATGGCAATTCGAATATCAAGTGGATGCGAGTGGCCATCTGAGTGGGTCCAGTGGGGCTATCTTACTTATGGGTGTCTAATGGGCATAACTGAGACTGTGGCAACGTTGCGTATAAGCAATATTGCCACTTTATGGTGTTGTGCGCTTGATTCTTCCATTTCTGTGGCTAAGGCTTGGAATTATTATTCAACACTGGAAGGTTTTCTAATACAATTGTGTTATTATCTAAAAAAAAAAAAAAAGGATTCTCCGGCTTTCAGATACCCATTACTCAGCTAGTGGGAATGCAAATAAGAAATTAGAACATTAAACAACATTTGCCAAACCAAAAACAAAAACACATTTTTTTTTAAGTTAGGGCGTACCAGTTTAATGGCGTAATGGGAGTTAGATTGGGCCAAAATGTTGTTGGTATTCCGATAGAAATGGGCCAGATATGGTAGGCGTGGCAGCATTATTAAATAAATTTGCTTCTATGTCTTTAGAATCTGCATGCTTAATCTCAACTTTCTAGCTTTTATAGTTCCTGAGATCTCGACGTTCATACGGACGGACAAAGGGACATGGCCAGATCGACTCGGCTATTCATCCTGATCAAGAATCTATATATTTTATAGGGTCGTTATAGGGTAGACTCGCTTCCTTCTACCTGTTACATACTTTTCAACGAACCTAACTTTGATATGAATTCTGTTTTTAACGAACCAATAACTTTGCATGCTCACTTTAAGTCAAATATGTCTTTGCAATTAATTTTCAGTACGTTTGGTTCATTAAATTAGTCTCAAACGATTGCCATTTATAACAATTATTATTTAATCAGCGTTTCAAACATCTAGCAGCGCATTGATGCTGGAAAAAATGTGTGCCTTGTGGCAAAAATAAATGAGACGACAAAGTAATTAAAATGTTGCACGAGTGGCAAACATTAATTATGCAGATGTGTATTTTAAAACGTATGGCTTCAGTAAAGTTTGTTTACCAGAAATTAAGGAAACTGCGCTATTTCTTAGGCATTCCATTTTAAATGCTTTAAGCGTCACTACGTTTTCGAGATAAAGCGCCGACGTTATTTTCTTTAAATAGTAGAGCAGGAAATACAGAAAAATTAAATACGGTAATTTACGACCGATAAATAAACAAAAAAGGGCGAAATACTAAAATAACTTCATATCTAACAGAATAACTTAATACTTTTCAGTACACAGATGTGCAGCTCATGAAGACTAACATTATTTTATTTATTTCTAATATATTTCTATATTTATTTCTATATTGAAAATTATGTGACAGGTAGATAAAAACTAATTCCAACCATTAATGTATATATCCTTGATGAGGATTACTGGCTGAGTCGATCTATAAATGTCAGTCTGTCTTGTCTGTTTAGATTGAGTCGTGTGCTAATTTTTTTTTGCTTCTTTTACACTCCCAATTTTGAAGCATTATTATACCCGTTACTCGTAGAGTAAAAGGGTATACTAGATTCGTTGAAAAGTGTGTAACAGGCAGAAGGATGCCTTGATCTCAGGAACTGTAAAAGCTAGAATATTGAGATTAGGTTTTCAGCTTCCAGAGCCATAGACGCAGCGATTTATCAATCTTGTAAAGTTCTATTGATTTGCCAAAACACTTTTTGTGCGCCTACTCTATCGCCCACAAATCCCGCAAAACTGTTACGCCTACACTTTTAAAACTGTTGTAGTTTTTAGCTGAGGAACGGGTATCTGATAGTCGGGGAACTCGACTACAGCGTTCTCTCTTGCTCCATTAAGAAAAGTAACTATAGCTTATAATAGCCCAAATTGACCAGCTAATATACCTATAGCAGACCCAGAACTTTGCCATCCACCGCTGAAGGCTGTTCTGGTGGTCATAAATTATTCAATTGAAAATATGTTAAAAATGCACAGTAAATTATTTACGCCACAGACCCTGTTCAGTGTACACGGACATTTACTCGAATGTACAGAGTACCATATACGGTCGTGCACTCAAGGGGCCCGTTGTTAACCTCGGAGGGGTTGCGTCCACATACATTTAGCCATAAATTTGCCTTCCCTCACCAACAGACACGAATACAAAAACCGCGGGTACACACGACCAGTCCCACACACAAACGCACTCTCAGTTTGCAAGTTTCATTGCATAACTTAGTGTGACTTTATGGCATTGCCTCGGAGTGCACAGTGGTCAGGATCATGTTTTTTATATCAATTTGTATTTCGAAGGGTAATCATACTCGGCCCGTGGGTAAGGGACTATAAGGACTATTTTCATTGTGTACAGTTATACTTTTGAGCACTGTCTGCAGCAGATGTCCAGATGATGTGCTGCAGCAAATCAGTCAGCATGGAAAATGAATACCCAGGCCACGAGGCGAGTCAAGTCGGCAGGGCACACGTGGCGTATGATTAATGCGTCTGGTGCGCGCTTAATGCTTTTAGGTGAACATAAATGATTGCAGTTTACCTCGCCCTGTTAATGCATCTAAAATCGCATTACGTGCAATCGGCATCAGCCAGAGAATTGCCCAATCGAGTTGAGGCCCAGGCACTGAACCCATTTATATGATTATATGACCACGTTATTGTGTGGTGCAACTGCAAATTTAAATGGATCTTGGTTTTCTATGAACAATGAATATCAGATAGTGGATAAATCACACATTAAAAAATACATGTGCAAGATTCTTAAATAGGAATACAACTAAATTGGATTATCGTCTGCTCAACCGTAAGCATTGCCTTGAATTTAATGGGATATTATAAATCGATTATTTACACCTTTTGTAATGGTTAAATTGTTTTGGCCCTATTTTGTTGTATTTTAATTTGATAACTAACCAATAACCAATTTTAACTAAAGCCATCATTAAATATTAGGAACATCCAAAAAGGGCAGACCAACAGCACCACAAAAATAACAAGGTAGAATGCTATAAAAATGGAAAAAATATTTTTAAAAGTGGTGCCGTGACAGTTTTGTGCGGCAAGATTTGTCCGTTCATACGGACAGACGGAAGGACGGACGGAAGGACGGACGGACAGACGGACGGACAGACGGACGGACAGACGGACGTGTCCAGATCTACTCGGCTTTAGATCCTGATCGAGAATATATATACTTTATATGGTCGGAAACGTTTGCTTCTGCCTGTTACATACTTTTCAACGAATCTAGCATACCCTTTTACTCTACGAGTAACGGGTATAATAAGAAAGAACTCTATAGTCGAGTTCCTCGACTATCAGATACCCGTTACTTATCTTGTGGGAGTGCTAGGGAAAAAATTTAAAATTCGTTTGAAATATCGATTAAATGATAAAAAAAATAAAACACACAGTGGACGTCACAGTTTTGGGCGGCTATTAGAGTGGGCGTGTCAATATTCTGAAACAAACTCTCACAAATTCAGTTTTTCTAGAATTTTCTAGAATTATTTAATTTTAGTTTCAGTGATCCCCACGATAATAACAGATGGACAGACGGTCATGGGATCGATTCGGCTACTGATCCCAATCAAAAATGTATGTACTTAACAGCGTCGGAAGCGCTACCTATTACAGCAATTTGTAGTTTCCTCACTTTAGTTAAAGAATAAATTACATTTATGAAAAGTTAATAGGTTAATTAGCCCTCACTTACCCGTCATTGAGAGTTGTGAATATTTAAAATAGAAAATGGGGCAGTTCGACAAGTTGCTCTGTCCAATTGCTTCCCTATTGACTTTTTATAAATTTGGTTGTAATTGTGAGTTCCATCTTGGGTTTCAAGAGCTTAACTTGACGCGTTCAGATCTACTTACCCCGCTAGCCACAGATTTTGTGTACCGAACTGAATCCAATTTACTGTATTTTGTGGCCTTAACTTATTAGCTAATTAGTCAAATATTTGCGCTCTAATCGCACAGTTGATATACACTACTAAATCATTGCATAAGCCCGGTCTAAGTGGCCCAAAATACGCAGCGAGTTCCCATTTGATTCGCTCAAGCGTCTTTGATTGATGCGCTAATTGAACATTTAGCCGCAAAGGCAAGGCAAATATTGATTTTATTGACACATCTATCAGGCTCATCGGACAACAGCCAACGACAAGTGCAACAACAGGGGCAAGTTTGTGTAAAGTTTCCATGTTGTTGCTGAGCTTGTTTTGTTTTATTTATTATTTTACTCAGTGCCGCCGCTCATTTGCTCTTTGATGGAAAACTGCCACATCCCGCGTTTCCCACGGAATAGCGCCAGTATGTGTATGTGTGGGTGTTTGCCAAAGCGCTGGGCCATTAAACCAATTTTCAGGCTAACAAAAAGTGGACAAAAGGGAAAGCGTAAAAAAGGCTGGAAGCGGCCGAGGAAAAACTGAATTTTTTCCTAACTTCGCTGAAAAGGGTACAGGGGCACTCCAAAAGAGAACTTTGAAAAGTTTGTGCACTTTGTAGTTTGAAATCCAAAATGATTTGTTCAACTTCTTTGCATTTACTCCAAATATTTCAACAAGTTAAGCGAATAAAATATATTGAAATAAACACATATCACATTTTCCCTAAACCATTTTAGAAAACAGTACTAAATTAAGAAATTAAAAAGTTTTCTTTTGACAACATCACTCAGTAATATTTGAAGCAAAAATAATTGTTACACTTCGAATATATTGAAGGATACTCGTATAATATATAGCACCCATTTAATTCAATTTGTTGTACTGTTGACTAGGTTCTTTTTAAGTTTTCCTAACAAAAAATGTACGAGTACAAGGGCTTCATTTTCTTTTGCAAGGGATGACCCTTTTTAATTGCCCAAACATTTAGGCAGTTTCACTTTGTAGGGACGCATAGCTTAAATTAGTTAGGTTTTAAGGGAAAGGGTAATAACAGGATAGGTGGGAGTGGAAGGATCTGGAACCCTGTCATTTCCTTGGCTGCTTTGGGTTCTTTGTCCTGTTAATTGCCTCTGATTGCCAACATAGCGATATCTTGGACAAATAATTCTTAGTTGGCTTTTGGAAAGAATGTGGCTTAGCGACAGCTGTTGTTGTTTCCCAGTGCCTACAGTATTTATTTTAAAAATTGATAGGGCGCTTGTCCTTGGCTGCTGTTTAATAACTTCATTCGATGCAAGGTGAAAAATAGAATCATCCGATTCAAGCAGCTTGCAATTAATTAACTTTTTAGCCCAATCCACCATTATTCAAAGCTGCCGTACCCATTTTGGCAAGCTGCATTGTTTGCATTGTCAAAGAGCTCGGAATAAGATTTAGTTGCCAAAAGACATTATCCGAGTAATGAGCTTGCCAGCCAAGCCGGAACTCGGGTCAATTGCATTGAAATTGAACGCATTGAATCAGCTTAAAATGTTCTACCATCCTAAGCTCCTAAGAGGCTTTGGTTTAGCATACAAAGGCCTTTGGATACCAATTATTTCGCTCAGTTCGGCTGAGTTTTGCTGGAGCTGTGCATACATAGAATATGTATTCAGGACTACCACATACTATCTTTTCGGCTAATAGAGAGCATGAAAGTTTGAAGAGAGTCGTTTTCCACTTAACTTTATGCACTTGCTCTTGCGCTCCATTTGCTAATGTACTTTTTGGCCCGCCTCACATTTGGCCGGGCTCCAGCCCATTTTTGGCCAAACTGTCTGCCTTTTTGGGAATTAATAACATTAAGAGCTCCACCTGGCCTCGACAAACAGATACAAATGCATCCAAAGGATGCGGCCTCAAAGGGCGTGACATGCTGGCTATGTGGGGTCTACCACTTTGCATGTCTATATAATTTCAAACAAAAGAGTCTGACAAAAAGTGTTATTTGCGAGACAACAGGAATTACAGATATTAATACCTCTCCACGTACTCTTTCTAATGGGATTTAAAAGATGTTTGCGGCTGTGAGATGGGAAAATCCATTGCATTTGCGTGCCAAACTCCCACATTCAGGGAATTCCCCTTGCGAACAGCACGGTTCTGAATCAATTGCACTTTAATTGCAGGGGTTTTCCTGCTTGCAGGTGGATGTCAGCCAAAGTAAATTATACACACCGGTAGATAATAACCAACCACTTAAATGCTGTTGCCTAGTAACTCCTTTCTGCGATTGCTTCTTGGAGTTAAGAGGCCTACTTGAAGTACTCTTACGGTGGTGACTTAGCTTGAGACAAATGCTTGGAAAGCACAATACATCTCGCTGTAAGGATACCTCACACTCTTCTCTAGTGGAAAAGTTGCGGCTCAAATTGTATCTGCAGTCGCATGTGTGGGCTTCGTGTTTGAATTGCTGATCAAAAAGGCAAACTCAGAGCGTGTTTTTATCATACATTTCATTCTCATCTATTCGATTTCATCTGGGGCGAGGAACTTTGGCTTGGAAAGTGCAGAAAACGAAACATTCGCAAAGAAGTTTCTAGTGTAGTTGGACAAGTTTCTTCTTTCTGGAAAACTTTTTGGTGTCCTGCAGCGACTACATTCTGCTCCAGAGCTGCCAAGAGGAGGACGTCGGGTGAAGGATGTGGGTGGCGCTCAGGACTCGAGCTTGGCTAACTAATGAGATTAGAATGAAATGGACATAAACTAAATTGCATTAAGATATTGTTCGCAAGGATCGAAGATCGCAGCGGCCTTAAGAAATTCATAGAAGTTCATTTGCCTTGGGTTACCAACTAAACCCTTGTACATTTCTCATCAATGTCAACTTTTAGTGAAAGTACATTACAAATAGTTTGATATCTTGTCTACCAATTACTTACTACCTTTCAGCATTTACACGTTGAGTAAGTGAACAGTAACTGCTGCAAATTCTGCATCAGATTCGTAATGACAATTCATTAGGAGGCCTCTTCAAATAATCAATATTTCCAGCTTGGGGCAACCAGGACTTTGGAATTCCCAGATGAAAGAGGTTGGAAGAATTTGGGGCTGAATTTGGAATGGCCACACAGCTTTTTTCAATTCCAGTTGAATCCGGCCAAAGTTTTTGGAATTCGCATTCCTCATGTCAATTAGAATTTCTATTTCGACAAGAGATTCTGCGAGTGGCAAGCAGCCTTGCCAGCTCACCAACTTTCAATTAAATGGGCGCAGAAGCGGATGCCTCCCAGTCGATGCCCACGTCAGTTCTTTGGCCACGTACCCAATTCGGTCATCATTTTCCATGTACTGACCGCCAGAAACTCCGCGTAAGCCGTTTAAGATTAATGACCTTTCCCACTCGTCGACGGCAGCAGTCTGTGCTGATATTTTTATGTGTGTTTATTTTAATTATTAATGCATAAATTAGGATTTAAGCAGACTGCGGTCCACAACGCCAGAAAAAACGATATACAACCACCAAAAGGAAAACCGGGAAAAGTTGGCCAAAACTAGCCTCTACTAACCTGATTTCACCTTTGCCGTTGCTGTTGCTGCAATGTTGCTGCGGTGCTGCTGCTGCTGCTGCTGCTGCTGCTGCCACTTCCGGTGCTCCTCCCACACTCTCGCTGTCTCACGCGCTCAACACAGTTAATCCATCATCATTATGATTTTCATATTTTGGTGCTGCTCTTGGTTAAGTTTAGTAGATGAAAACACTTTTCCAGTTTACTTTTTGGGCTGTGCTGTTGGCTTATTTTCGGGGTGATTCTTTTGCAGAGTTTCTACTCATTTTGGCAGCAACATAATATCCTTTAGGTTTGTTCTAGCCTTCCTTTACTTTATGTACATGTGTTTCCGGCACTTTTTAAAAGGCATTTAAGTCCTGGTATATCTACTGCGGTTCTACCATCCCGCTCTGCTCGACTACTGCAAAAATCTCGTAATTAGTTGCTGCGACTACAGTGAGCACAACAACAAGTGGCCACTCCGCCTGTCTTTATGGCCTAATGCAAATTTAATTGCGGTATTTCGCCCAACTCCTCGCCCACAATGGAAATGTGCTGTACTTCCCAATGTATTTTTGCGGTTATATTTTGAGACCTTGTCATGTTTCTGCTGCCCCAATTTGCCACGCCCAGCGCGCACACACAGCCGCCCGCTGCGCCAGACTATCCTCATTTGCTTCACTTTTCCGACCGCTTTCCTTCTGCTGGAAAACGTTCAGCTTATTTCTGGAATTGCCGCTGTTGCTGCTGGCTTTAATGAGCTTCCTCCTGATTGTGGCTGAAATGGGAAAGCCATGCAGCTTCCGACTCCAAGTGACGCTGCTTAGAGCAGCAGTGCCACTTGCCACCTGCGGGAATCGGGTGCACTGGCATTATATAAGTGAAATGAATCACATCTGACTATCTGGGCTTTAGGGTTTCCGTAGCTGCTAAAGAAATGCAGATTAGCAGATGTATTGCTACACATGTGCAATAATTGTGGCAACTTATGCAATACATAATCAGATGCATAATCAGTGAAAAACACCAAAAATTGTTCGCCTAGAATTTTTTAATTTCTGTGTGCTACTTTTACCTAATTTAAAAAGTTATTTCCTTTATTTTTCGACCTTCAAATGTATGTTTATTCAAAAGGCTTAGTCACTAGAACTAGTTAGTTAATGATTAGTTTGATCTGATTAGTTAGTTTGATTTGATATGATTAGTTAATCAAATTAGTGCCTAAAAACTTTCAAACATAAGCTGAGTGCGTACTCCTTCAAGAAAGCGGTGCCTCAATGTCTCATTGGACATTGGACATTCCACACTTCTTGGATAACCCTTGGCAACCAATGAGAACCGTTGGACCCAGCCTTCGAGAAGCCTCCTAACTCGGGTGCATCAGTGCGAATGCGTTCTCCAAAGTTTGAACAGCAGTTGTGGCCCTGGCGATTGCGGGGAAACCGAGTGCTGTTGTCCTTGCCAGCTGATGGACGCCTAGCAGCTGTTATCACAGCCTAATGCTAATGCGATTTTCATCGCTGGCTCTGTATCGGCGTCATTACACCTCCCCGCTCCCCTTGCGAGGAGCAATGCTCCCACCTTATTTCTCGCCACCATGAGAGCGAGATTCATGGCATTCTGATGGCAGCTGGCTGGCGCTAACGATGCCGAAGCCTTTGGCCGTCTTCAGATGCTGCTGCCGATGATGAGGAAGTTGGCTTATGTAACTAGTGCTGCATGAATCCGAGAACACACACAAGCACACGCACACGCACACGCACAAGCACACGCACACGCACACGCAAATCGGGCAGAGGCCCACGAAATCCTTGTGCCTTGTGTTTTGCCTATGTCCTGGCTGCTTCTTAGCCACTCAAACCGAAGCTTTTGTGTTTTTTCGTTCGCCCCAGACATATCCCCACTGTTCGCGTGTGTATGTGGGGCAGTTGTGTGTCTGCAGCAGTGGTAATTCTTTGGCTGCGAGCTGCTGCGTGCCTTCAACACTAACAAGCAGCAGCAAAAGAGCTGGAACCGAAGGAGTGGACCTTTGTCCATGTCTGACTTCAAGTGGGCGCAGGGAGATGGTGCGGTCCTTGGACCACCAGCACTCACACTCACACTCACACTCACAGTCACATCCACGTCTGTTTCACTTCACTACCACACTCGCGTTTCCTTAGAACTGGCCCGGTTCGGTTGGCTTTGCCTTGGGTTTTGGCTTCTGGCAGCGAACGGACTTGCGAATCTGCTGGCGGATGCTGCTCTCGGTGCTGTTCATCTCCCGTCGATGGACCATGTTTGACTGGCTCCCAATCGAAGCCATTGGCTGCCATTCGGCGTCACGCTCGCTTCGTCCTGGCCTAAACGCGGATCCCGTAACAGTGGCTGTGGTTGCTGCTGTGCTGCTCTCCTCCGCTCTGCTCTGCTCCGCTCACTTCTTATACTAATCTCTGCAAAGAGCAAGGAGCAAGGACCTGAGAGAGAGAGCATTCAGCTGGCGAGGCACTGCTCTTGTTGCATTTCACAGGCTCGACGAGTCGAAGATAATGCACGTGAGTGGCTGGGACTGCCAGATAGTTTCGGATTGTGATGCTTACCAAAATGGATGAAATGGGAAATGCTCCTGAAAATGAAAATACATCGCATCCTTAATTCAATATGCACTCAAGCGAGAATCCAGCAGGGTATTCAATCAAAAATAAGCAGCAATATTTAAAATAGATGTGGAACAATTTCGGAAATCGAGAGCTGATCGTAGGTTAATTTGTAGTTTATCGGAAAATGGTGTCATATATTTTTGACTAATCAATCCTAGATTAAAACAAACATTTTAAGAAGGATCACTAGCCGAGTCCATCTGGACATGTCCGTCTGTTCCGTCCGTCCGTCTGTCCGTCCAAATCAAGCTAGAAACTTAATATTAAGCGGGCAAAAGTCACACGTCCACTAATTGATTTCTTTTTATTTTATTTTAATATGATTCTTTTGGATTGTACCAAAGATTGTTTCTTGCCAACAGAATTAGAAATTAATTCCTAGCTGAGGAAACGCTTGTTTGTTTTTTTATCCATTCACACGGAACGTAGGCATATTTCCTGCACCCATTCTTTTACATAATTCCCAAAATAGTGGCAACGTCAAGCGCTTGCCACATCGTCTCTTATATTTTATTTTAAAGCACAGACTCGCTCTCCCTCTCACTCAATTTTACTCTCCCTGCGCATGCTCTTTCGTGGGAAAACAACTTCGAATTTCGGCAGAAGGATAACAAAGAAAGCCCTCCAACAAAAAGAACACCCTACATACTAATATAGAACACCACAAGACCAAAACTCGTTTAGTTGCCGCGTTGACAACTTTGTGGCAGGCGGCAAGCAAACAAACCTCACACTTGTCCTGAATGTCCTTAATGTGGGGTCGGCTGCAGGGTGGGGATCCTGCTGCAATTGCATTGTGAAAGGCAAATGCAGTGTCTTGGTGTCTTGGTGGGCATGTTGCCTGAGCATTGACCTGCTTAGACAGCTGAGAGATTTATAACTCCGCTACAACTCGTGGGAGTACTGCAGGTCTGCGAATGGGACCGACGGCATTAAATGGCAAATAAATCTAAAGTTAAAGTTTTGACACTGTCTCGGCGAGGAGCCACGCAGGCATTTCCTTCCGCCTCCCTCGACTTCCGGTTGGAATCTGTCGCCCTGTCAGCGGCAACAGAAGAAGTGACACTGGCACACAGACACAAGTCTGCACAGTGCACTGAGGGAAATCGTTTCAGTCACTCTTATTAATTCATTGAAATAGATGGAACAGGGAAATATTGACAGTTTTAAATATGAGTGATTAAATTATGTGCAAGCTTCAACTTACTGATATACTTCGACGTACCTATCAAACATTTTTGTATGAACAACTGATGCTAACGGCTTGTAATTTTTTAAGGGCTGGATTTAATATACTGGCAAAGCTAAATTCACAAAATACAATAGTTTTCCTTCTGTTTATTAAAATTTATATATTTATTTATTTATATAGAGCTAAGTTACAAAGTGAATTTATAACTTAACTTAAAGCTATAGCACTGGCTGCATAGGCCTTTGGCTAGGAGGTTTTTAATCGTAGGTAGTTGTGTTTATATAATATAATTCTGAGATGAGTTTTATTTTGTGGAACATTAATAACTTAATATATATTTTTATATTTGCTTTTTTTTTAAATATGGTGAAGGAGTTTAGTTGATTTAAAAAAGTTAATAATTTTTAATATATTTGAGTTTGTTGGGTTGGTAAGGAGCGTGTTTATTAAAGTTATATTTTCAGTTATCTCCTAAAATGAAACTGGTTAGCCATAGATGTACAAATTTGATGGCTCGAAATTCCTTCTCAAATTGACCCCAAATTGTCCATGTGTACTATTGTGCGCCCAGCACCTCTTCCGAAATCTTATAAAACTCGGGAATAAATAATAATAATTCTTGCGCTTTTCGCGCCAGTCCGCTGTTCGCATTTCCCGCATCCCCCGCATTTCCCTGCCATCCTTATGGCAATGTCAACATTTCTTTTGCTCCCCTAATGGCCTGAAGAAAGCACACACACAGGCACACACAGCCCACGTACGGGTATATGTGTTTTCGATCGGTTGTTGTTTTTCCGTGTCGGTTATGCATAGCCATAAATTCTGGTAAAAGCTTCTGTAGGTCGAGGGCTACGGCGGTCCGAAAATAAAGGAATTGTCCATGATGCTGGCACTTACGCACACAGCCAAGCAGAAGGATGGGAACGAAAGGACCTAGCACACACACACAGTTGCCAATTGTTGTGCTCGCCGTTTTTGTTTGTCACTTAACAGATTTTGCTGTCCTTGTTGGTATTGATTTCTAATTTTTCCTTCGTCGGCTTAATAAAAATCCTTGCGCCATATGAACGTGCCGGTTTCGTGTATCTGTGTGCGTGTATCTGTGTGCGTGGGCCCGACAGCGGTTTTTATTATGTGTGCGTGTGTGTCGCATTGATTTCGTAATTTATGGGCGATTTGATGGATTGCTCGAATAACTTTTTATGTTTATTTTTGAGTTTTTATTGTTTTACTGTATTTGTGGTATTTCATGCGGAGATCCTTTGGCAGCCGCAATGGAAATCATTTGGTTTTGGCCAAAATGCGGCCGTAAAGGTGTGAAGTAAAATAATGTTGCCTATACTCGTACATCGGGCTTATCATGCCCGCTGTCTATAAAAAGCTCTTAATTTAACAAAACTCGTCTTCTGTGGGCTATATAATTTCGAATCATTTTGTGACTTTTTAGTCCATTTGTGCTAATCATTTTAATGGTTTAATTTGGCATCATAATTGATCAAAGTAATGGGCACAAAAACGGATTGGTAATATGAAAAACCCGATTTGATTAAATTGTAAATTAAATTAAGCAAGTGACACTTTCCACTTAAATGTTGCCTTACATTGGTAAAGGATGCAGGGCTTACGATCCTCCGCGGTTAGCTAATTAAACCAAACGCATCCGCGTAATTAAACAAGCCCATAAACTAAATCAACTACATTTGGGATGGAACTCGGTTAACTCGGTTAGATTACGAGTTAAATCAATATTGTTAAATCCCCGCTCACAAAAAACAAATTCACAAGCCGAGTGTTCACGTATTAATTGGTGTTCGTGAGTGTCCTGCATTTAAATAATCCATGAACTGGCACATCTGTGTCTGAGTTCCCATCCATGTATGTGAGTATCAGCCATCTGAGCGGCGGAAGCTAGCTGCTTGAAGATACAGATACATTCCGGCACATACACGTGTAGTTCCAAGTGTGATTCGGTAATTCGGTGCTTTCTGTTCCTGCCACGTTTGCCACATTTTAGCATTGCTACAACTAGTTTCGAATAACATGATTGAATTATGTGATTTCATGAACCCATTTGTGCCATTTTAATCATTTAATTTGGCATCAGAATGGATTAAACCCATTTAAGACTACTGTTGAAAACCTCGCCTATCGAAATTCGGTGCTGATGCACTTAGAACGAAAAATTGAGCAAGGACCAACTAGCCATCAGGACACTCACATGCAAATGGGTATATGTGTTATTTTTTGGGTCAGCGATTCGCCGAGGGATCCGTTGCCTGAGGAATGGCCTATCCCCATTGCTCTGCGGCACTTAAGGCCAACAAATACAAGCGGGCATAATAAAATAATCGATGCCTTTAAAATTTGCATAAGTTTGGATACCGCAGATGCCACGCAAGGGGATGCCAGATGAGCCCATCGCCAATCCCATTCCTCCAGTGCGCACACGCCGCGTGGACGGCACAGGACTGGGCCATGGCCCAAAACCGGAGTCCTAGACCTGGAGACGGCGGCAGTGGCGGTGGACAAGTTCGTGGGCGTTCTATTTAATTGTGGGAATTCGGCGTCTGCCACGCACCCTTCACATGGATGGACGTGGCTGAAGAGCTGAATTTTTAAGCGCTTCAAGGCGGCCCCAGACCCATATGTATATTTTCATTAACATGTGTGGGTCGGAGTGAAAGTTACGGGCGCGGATTCAATGTGGCCTTGCTGCAGCCGTGGGAACTCGTCCTTAAAGTACACGTCCTTATGTACAGCGGAGCAAGTACCTAGCCGACAGAAGAAGCAGGCACTTGTCGACAGAGCTTGTTAACCTTCCGGATTTCACATTTCATTACCGTCGACGACGCGCTGCTGGCTGGTTAACTGTTTCCTGGTTCCAGGTTCCTTTGTATCTTAAATATCCCGGTATAGCCTTATAGAGTGAAATGAGTGCCTAGAAGTGCATTTATTGGGACTCAATTAACCCGACAATAACCAGACAAAAATTACATCTGTATTTCTAAAGTTCAACAGGAAGGTAATCACGAGGACTTTAAATATCACACTAAAATAATAATTGGTCACCAATTGTCCAGCTCCAAATTCCGAACTAAATATTTCACTAAATATTTCACAACATTTCACAATAAATAGCCGGTTTAATATGAATTTGTGAAAAGACCACCTGAATATTTAATATTGGCCTAATGCTTATTCCCTCCATGAATAAAACAAGCCAAATCGATTCATTTCGAAGAGCAAAATTCCAAACAATCCGAGGACTAATCACGCACACGGAATATTGAACAGATTACCACGGCAATAATAGCTGATTAAATTTGGCGAAACCCACTGATTTTGTCGTGCACTTTTCACAGGATGACAACCTCGATGCAGCCGAGCAAGTATACGGGCCTGGTCGCTGACCTGATGCCCAACATCCGGGCGATGAAGTACTCCGGCCTGTTCATGCACAACTTCACGGGCGGCAGTGGCTTCATGAAGAAGGTGTACTCCTCCGCACACCTGGTGTTCCTCCTCATGCAGTTCACCTTCATCCTGGTCAACATGGCCCTGAATGCCGAGGAGGTCAACGA